AAGTGGGAACTTCCAGCAGGGAAACTTGCCTTAATGTCGGTCTGTATTCTGGTCCCTGCTTGATCATCAGAGCTCGGCATTTCGGCGTTCAGAACGTGGAAACCGCATCCCAAGTCCCAAGGCCCCCATTGCCTATGGCAGTTGAACATGGCGTTCCTATGAGCAGGAAAAAAACTTTTTTTCTCATGTCAGATTTCACTCCGAGAGAGTCAATGAGAGCTTCTGTGGTTCGAATTGATATACTTGATGAATAATTTGAGTCTCAGGGTTTCGAATCAAGTGATTAGCGATTCTCTGCGGCTCGCCTGACCCGAAGTATGGCGACGCTTCCGCTTACGGAACCTGCCGTTCTTAAGATTTTGACCACCACTGTATATACTAAAAATGTAAGTCCACAGAAATCCCGTTGTGTCGTATGGATCAGAATGGGCGCTTCCTTCGTAACGTTCAAGCGTACCTACTCGGCTTTCGAGATCGTGATCTTTTGGTGCTCTCCGTCTCCGAGATGATTTCATGCCGCTTCTAATTTATGCCTGATCGGAGAAAGCGCCCATTCTGGAGGAGCCCTCCCACCCATTCCGAAGGAGCCAAAGAATCGAGATCAGGTATTCGTAGTGACTCATGAACAGCATCGAGCATCATCAGCCATCGTCGACAACAACGAAGTTGGGAAAAATCCATCGTCGACAACAACGAAGTAGGGAAGAATCCATCGTCAACAACAACGAAGTAGGGAAAAATCACGTAAAATCGTTGAATGTTTAAAATCTAGAAGCGGCATCGTTGAGCTCGTGTGCCGGGGAGGTACCAGGGAGACTTCTGAAGGTCCTCTTAAAATATCAAGAGTATGTGTTCAATATTAATAGAGTCCATGCGACACAACGGGATTTCTGTGGACTTCCATTTTTATGTATACAGAAGGCCTTAAGCCCGACCAAGGACAGGGAGCCGGGAACTGGGAAAGGACCGAAGTCGCCATCCCTTATTACTACCTCCGGCTCCCCCTCCGTCCTGCTTGTCATTCATCTTTGGCTCTATCGGCCGTTCGTCCTGCTAAATCCTCTACCCCGAATTTTTCTATTGAGGTCTTCTTTTTACTTCATGATGTCATCCAAGATCTTCGAGTTACGTTCCCATTCTGCTCCGCTCGCGAGCATTTGGTCCATGATTTCTGGGATCGTTCGGGCCGTTATCCCGCGTCTCTGTGAGGCGAATTTTGGGCATTCGAAGACTGTGTGGTGCACGTCGTCTGTCTTGCCGGTAGGGCACCCAGGGCAGCGCTCGGACGGTGCGAGCCTTCTCGCTGCTGGGTACTCCCCGAAGTCTCCATGTCCGGATGAAATCTGCGTCTTGTAATAGGTGAGCTCTCCGAGCTCTCGTCCGAGCCACCTGCTCTACTTCGGTATGCAGCTGTAAGTCCAGCGTTCCGTTGTGGAGCTGTCCCACCTTTCCTGCCACGCTTGCACCGTGTGGTTCCTGATCTGCTCGCCGCCTGTCTGCGCCGTTCCGATTGCGGCGGAGCCCTCTTGACGACTTATTCTTTTCTTTTCTTCGTATAGCTGGCTTCTTTCTTTTGCGAGTAGGGCCCATGGGGTAGTCCGCGCCAGTACGAGGTCGGCTTCCGTGGAGTTCGTCCTATAGGCTCTGGTGATACGAATGGCCATGACTCTTTGTGTTCTATCAAGCTTGTCCCTGTATTTCGAAAAAACGAGGGCACTTGGAGCCCATATCGGTGCTGCGTACAAAGCGATCGATTCACTGACCGCGGCCAGCAGCCTTCTCTGTGTCTCGCTCGCTCCGAAAGTCCTCGGTAAGATTCTGGCCGTGCTCATTGCCACTTGAGTTGCTTTCTTCAGTCTTTCTTCTATGTGCGTTTTCCCTGTAAGGTTTTGCTCTAAGATGATGCCGAGATATTTCACGTGTGTCTCCACCCGGATCGTTTCGCCTCTGAGTTTGATGTCGGAATCCCCGTCTGTCCTTTTCTTGAGGAGCATGACGGCCTCGCATTTCTGCGGGGCCAGCTCCAGATGATTTTGCTGCATCCACCCCGCTATCCGATCTTGCGCTTCTTGCGTGATCTACTCGAGTTCTTCCATACCACGTGCCGTGACCAGGCGAGCCAAATCGTCGGCATACGCGATTGTCCGAGCTCCCTCCGGTAGACGCAGACGAAGGACTCCGTCATATGCTATGTTCCACAGCGTAGGCCCCAGCACGGAGCCCTGCGGGACCCCGGCTGTCATTCCCTGTCTTCTTCCATCTTCGTCGTTGATGTGTCGGTCTTCCAGAAACGATGACAGGATCCTCTGGAGATATGCCGAGATACCCTTCAATTGTAGGTTCTTCAGGATCACGGCCCATTCCACGGAGTTGAATGCATTCTTAACATCGGGAAGCACGATGAGAGTCATCGCTCTCCTCCATGGTGGCTTCTGCAGTTCCGTGTGGACGGTATCGTACACGTTTTCCAGGGCTGTAATGGTCGATCGCTTCGGTCGGAAGCCATACTGGCTGTCTGAGAGGCCTCCTCTGTCCCGTAGTTCCCCTTGCAGTCGGCGATTCAGGATGGATTCGACGGCTTTCGCAGTCGTGTCCAAGAGGCATATCGGTCTACAATACGCATCTTTCTTCCCCATTTTTGGGATGAGAATCAGCTTTGCAGTTTTCCACCGTTTGGGGAAGGCTCCTACCGTCAAGATCCGATCCACCATCTCTGCGAAGGCTTCTTGCCATCTCTTCATGAGGAGCTTGACCGTCTCTGGTGGAACCCCGTCTGCGCCGGCCGCCTTCCTAGATGCAAGCTTCTCGGCGGCTGTTATGACTTCTTGTGTCGTTGTTCTCGGGATTTCGCTCGGGTCCACTAGGATCTCGGGTCGTTCGAAGCTTATTCCCGTGGGGAAGAGCTCCGCGATTGCTCTGCCGATTTTCTCTCTCGGGATCTTGAGTCTCCTCTTGCCCAGTTTTTCTCGGATGATCCTGTATGGAAGGCCCCCTATGTCGTCCTTCAACGACTCGCAGAACTCTTCCCATCTCTGTCGCTTGCTTCTGAGAATTTCGCTTTGATAGCCGTCTCTCGCAGCCTCATAAGCTTCTCTCAGAGATTCAACTCTGTCCGGGTTCTGTTGGGCTCGTGTTCTCGCGCGGACGAACAGCTTTCTTGCGTGAATACATCGCTTCCTTGCATCTCCTACGCCCCTAGTCCACCAGTACACGGGTTTCTTCTCCCCAAGGTGGCTCGAGAGTTGTGGGGCCGAGGCCCTGCATGCTTCGGCGAGGAGCTCGGATATGAATCTCGCTTCCACGATCGCTCTTTTGTCTCTTGCTTCCTGACACGCCGCATCTACCTTCAGAAGGAACTCTGTTCGACTGAGGTCTTTCCCTTGCCATTTCCTTCGGTAGGGTTGTTGTTCCCTTCTTGTTAACCCTTCAGCTCGGAAGTGTCGCTATGGCTCGATGGTCGCTGATCGTTTCCGTCAGCTCCCTCACGCTCCAATGTTCGACAAGCTCCGGTCTGTTGGTCATGCTGATGTCTATGAAAGACTGCAACATTCAGTATGACAAAGTTGTTCGTGGCGGCCAGTTCTTCAAGTTCGCATCCCCTTCGCGATGCATGCATCTGTTTGTCCCTCATGAGATCCTGAATGCCATCAAGATATTTTATGAATTCTTCGTCGCTCTTGTTCGAGGAGAAATAGCAGCTTGCTATGTGAGGTCCGTCTTCGAGGCCTACATGGGTGAGTCCCTGACTTGCGGCTGAGGATCGAACTCTGACTTGAGGTCCTAGTCCTGTGATCCAGATGGCCTTGTCTCCTGCGTCATCTTCGAGCCATCCTTCGTCTGCTTGCTATTCGCTTCGGATATTTTTCTATTAACTTCGCTGAGTATACAGATATCTATTCCTTGGTTTTGTCCAAGAAGTTCCAGGGCGGCGTGAGCGGCCCTGGTTCTATTGAGATTAAGTTGGATTATCTTAATCATCTTGATTCTGGTTGTTCTGTTTTCTTCTATTCTGGACGAGTTTCCATTCTCCGTCGGTCTCGTCGGTTTGCATTGCTTCAGTTCCCTCGGTCTCTTTGTCGCGGTCGGCTTTCCAGCCTAACGCGTAGACTGGAAAACTGCTAACCAGATTACAACGATTCTGAGTCAGCATAGCGGATATCGAGATGTCAAGGTTAAAAGTGGCCCTTGCTCTAGAGAACTATAAAAGGAGCCACCGATCCCAGAATAAACAAGTACGAGCAAGTACGAGCCAAGTACGAGCAAGTACGAGCAAGTACGAGCCAAGTACGAGCTGAGTATTAACCAGGTGAACTCGACAGTGTCTTCCTTGATGTTCCAATACCTACCGCCTTACACCACAACAGTTGGCGACGAGGAAACTTCCGAACTCACTTCAAGATGAGTTTCTCACCAGAACAAGTGCAGGAGCTTATCGGGCAAGCGGTAGCCCAAGCCCTCAAAGCGGCGAAATCAACACCCACCTCAGCGCATTCGGTGATGGAACATCTGAACACCAGGATCCCGAAATTTTCGTACAATGAAGACACTGGACACACATTCGAGAAATGGTATGTGCGATACAGCTCGATCCTCGAAACTGAAGGAGCCGTGCTTCCGGAGATAGACAGAATTCGTCTGGTAGTATCCAAGCTGAACACCAACGAATATGATCACTTCGTTAACTTCATTCGTCCAAAAAAAGTCGAAGACTTGAAACCAAAGGAACGATCGAAATATTAAAGAAATATTTCGACGCAAATCACTTTGTTCAAGCGAAGAATGCGTTCACTGAACATAAAAAGAGACGGACGCAACTTGAAAGAGCTCACCAGCGCCATCAATGAAGCCGCTGAAGAAGCCGAATGGGGTGATATAACCCTAGACGAGATGAAACAATACATCTTGATGCTTTCCCTGCAAAGTCATGACGACTCCGACACTCGCACGAGAGCCGCTCGACTTCTCGAGCAGGATCGAAACTTGAGTTTTTCACAGATCATGGATGATCTGGATCACTTCGAATCTATCAAAAGGGATCTCTGCGCTTCAAATAGAAGAAACATCAACGGAGTAGAAGGTCGAACGTCGAAAACAACGGGACGCCCCCAACAACGTACAAGTACTAGTAAAATCATTATTGGTCCTTCATACATATGCTATCGTTGCATCAAGCCCAACCATCATTCAAATGACTGCAAGTATAAAACATATGAATGCGAGAAATGCTCCAAAATCGGACATCTCGGCAACGCTTGCAAATCGAGAACTAACAACCAG